CCAGGAGCTGTGGTTTTTTTTTTTTTTTTTTTTTTTTTGCTGGGGTTAGAGGTTTGGATCAAGGCAGAGGCTGTGTGGACTTGGCAGGCACTGGGAGGGCCATCTTTGGGTTTGGGGTCACAGAATTTGGGGAGAGGGCCTTGACTGCCCCCTGGTCCTCCCCACCCCCCCATCCTCAGATTCGGCCCAAGTCCCTCCTCAGGTCGAGATCTAACTCTAACGGAGCAAATTCCTCTCGAGCCTTGCTGGGGTCCCTGCTGGGATGTGGAGAAGCCCCTGGGACAGAGGCCTCCGCAAGTCTCCTAGGATGTCCCCAGCTGCCACCCCGCCTGCTCCCTGCCTCAGATGAAGCATGCTGTCCACCATGGGGGAATATAGACGGTAGGGAGGGTCCGGGATGTAGTGGCCACCCTCATTCCCCACTGACTGAGATGGCCATGGTGTGGAAGGACAGAGTGGCCCAAGCCTTCCAGTGGCAGAAGCTGGGTGTCCAGGCCATTGGGGTCGCTGGCTGTGGTGTCTCCCCCCGGGCTCCGTGAGCCCGAAGACCTGGGCCACCTCTTTCCACTCCTGCCCCTCACCTGCAGCCCCCTCCGACCAGGCCAGCTCGGGGCAGACCAGACTCCCCCAGACCCTCCCGCCTGTCCTAGGTCATGCTGGTGGGGGACTCAGGCGTGGGGAAGACCTGCCTGTTGGTGCGATTCAAGGACGGAGCTTTCCTGGCAGGGACCTTCATCTCCACAGTGGGCATTGACTTCCGGGTGAGTGGAGGCCCCTGCCTGGCCCCACATCAGCCCGAGTCCTGCTGGCATCCCTGGGCAGCTGGTTGTTATCCCCGTGGTACCGACAGGCTCAAGAGGCAGGAGCTCCCAGCGGGGCTACCTGGACCTCAGGTGGGACGCCTTAGCCACCAAGCTGCCTACCTCTACCTACGAACACTTGGGCTGGTGGCTGCACCTGACAAGCAATTTTTTGCCCTGTGCCAGGGGCCAGCACTACCCAGGGATCATATCCTGTGCCTTGGGGGAGGCAGATGCTGGTGCCCACAAGGTGGTGGGTCAGAGGAAGTCAAGGGTCATGTACACTTGGGGCCAGCGGTGCTGCCCAGGTACAGAGGCCTTACCTGGCCCTACAAACACATGCTCCCTGCAGAGCCTGAGCCACGCTGTTTCCAGGCCTTGCTCAGGGGAGAGGACCCTGTCCTTGGGTGAGGAGGCCCCGCCTCCGCCACCAGCCTGAATTCCTCGTGCTGAGGTGCTGGCGTGTTCTCAGCAAATCTTAAATTTGCATTTTTCTCACCCTTTAATTAGAGCCAGTTAGCGGGAAGATGGAGGGACGGCTGTTCCAGGGACAGGAAAGGGGGCTCCCTCTAGTCTGGGGAACTGTTCTCTATCCTGTCTGGGGGGCTCCAGGCACCCTCAAGTCTTCTTGGAGGGAGCGAGGACTGAAGTTCCCCATGGGGGCAGGCCAGTTCCATCTGGTCCGCACTTGCCCACCTCTCCCGGCTCTCGAGCGGGCGGTGAAAGGTGGGGCCATCTGGTTCGCACCATTGTTCAGGGTGCCAGGGAAGGCAGTGTCCTCCCCAACCCAGCAGATGGTCCTGCCTGGTTCCTGGGAGACTCAGAAGCACTCTGATAGCAGCTCAGGCTGAGGGAGGTGGCAAACATTCCAGCTGCCCAGGGCCCCAGGCTGAGGCTTTGAAGCCCCCTGCCCCCACCTCAGCAGATGGGACTGGGGCTGGGCCACTCCCTGCCTCGAGTCTAGTACTTAACTGGGACGGCCTGGCCGGGGATGCTGCTGGCCACCACACAGGAGCAATGGCTGCCAGGCAGCGCTGGGCTCTGTGGTTGCTGCCTGGGTTCAGACAGTCCCAGCAAGAAGAAATTGTCTTTTGAAACAAGGTCTTACTGTTGCCCAGGCTGGAGTGCAGTGGTGATCACAGAGGACTGTAGCCTCGAACTCTGGGGTTCAAGCCATCCTGAGAGGCTTTCAAATCAGCAAAAAGAGCTACTGGGGAGGCTGAGGCGTTGCAGCTTGTTACTGCAGCAGCCATGTGGCTGGCCCCATTTGCAGATGGGGAGACTGAGGCAGCATCAGTAAGAGGCCTGGTGGGGTGCAAGCCAGCCAGCACAGGAGGTTCTAAGTAGGACTCCTGCAGAGGCTCAGAGGGAGAGGTCGCACTTGCAGGGGTGGGCGAGGCCGAACTGGCTCGAGGGGGCACAGGGAAGCCCGAAGGGGCTGGGCTGGACCTGTTAGGTCCTGGGGCATGGGAGGGAGGAAGGAGAGCCAAGAGACCCTGATGGGGTGTGGGGTGGCAGTGAAGCTGGTGGGGCCAGAGCTGGCTGGTTCTGTTTCAGAACAAAGTTCTGGACGTGGATGGCGTGAAGGTGAAGCTGCAGGTGAGGTGACTGGCAGAGGGCAAGCTGGGGGACAGGGGATACTAGCGAGGGGCTGGGCAGCCTGACCAGCACCTGTTGCTGCAGATGTGGGACACAGCCGGTCAGGAGCGGTTCCGGAGCGTGACCCATGCCTACTACCGGGACGCTCATGGTGAGCCCCTGGGCACCTGGGCTGGGGAGGGGGCCTGAGCACCTGAGGGTGCGGGTGATGGTGGATGTCCTCACTGCCCTGTCCCCAGCTCTGCTGCTGCTCTACGATGTCACCAACAAGGCCTCCTTCGACAACATCCAGGTCAGTGGCCTTCCTGGTGTGGTCAAAGGGCTCCAAAAGGGCCTGGCCCGACCTTCACCTCCTTCTGGTGTGGATGGTATCAGGGATCCAAAGGACCCTGCTGAGAGGCTCAGAGGGGGAATGACAAGTCTTCTGGGCTGGAAGTGGCTCAAGTGGATCTGAGTGCCTTTCCAGCTCCCTCAGTGGGGCTGTGTGTAAGGGACCTGTAAGATGGGCGCCCCTATGTAGTATATAGGGGTTATCACTTCTAAAGACAGGTATTCTGGACAGGTATGGTGGCTCACCTGAGGTCAGGAGTTCGAGACCAGCCTGGCCAACCCCATGTCTATTAAAAATACAAAAATCAGCTGAGTGTGGTGCTGTGCACCTGTAATCCCAGCCACTCAGGAGGCTGACGCAGGAGAATCCCTTGTTCCTGGGAGGCAGAGATTACGGTGAGCCGAGATTGCGCCAGGGCACTCCAGCCTCGACGACAAAAACTGTTTCAAAAAAAAAGATAAAATGAAGACAGGTGCCCTCTACAGTATAGTCTGGAGGGCCAGGGTTCTGGGGCAGGAGGCGAGCCATGCAGGGAGCCCCAGCCCGGTCTGCTGCCCCCCACAGGCCTGGCTGACCGAGATCCACGAGTACGCCCAGCACGACGTGGCACTCATGCTGCTGGGCAACAAGGTGGGAGGCCGGGCCATCCTCGACTGGGCCGCAGGGCAGGTGAGGGGGCAGGGGCCAACCATGGGCCAGCTGTTACAAAGACCCTGTGCCTGGGCCAGGTCGACTCTGCCCATGAGCGTGTGGTGAAGAGGGAGGACGGGGAGAAGCTGGCCAAGGTGAGTCAGGGCTGGGGGTGGTAAGAGGGTGCTCCTGGAGGCTGCGGAGCCTAGGCTGTCCCCGCCAGGCCACCACCTGGCTGGCAACAGCTGTTTACAGGAGTATGGGCTGCCCTTCATGGAGACCAGCGCCAAGACGGGCCTCAACGTGGACCTGGCCTTCACAGCCATAGCAAAGTAAGTCCCGGTAGTTACCAGGACTCCCCCAGCCCAGGGCCTGAACCCTCTTATTGGAGTTCAGGCCATCGTGTCCTCTTGTCACCCCCGTTCTGCAGGGAGTTGAAGCAGCGCTCCATGAAGGCTCCCAGCGAGCCACGCTTCCGGCTGCACGATTATGTTAACAGGAAAGGTCGCAGGGCTTCCTGCTGCCACCCCTGAACCTGGCTGAGCTCAGTCCTCTGGAGGAAGCCGCCCAGCCTCCAGAAAGCTGCAGAGGGTCTCCAGGCCCTTCTGACTTTGTTGCCCTGTGGCCAATGCCAGAGTGTGTTTCCAGGAGCCCCAGGTCAAGCCTTGCCCCTTCCTCCTCCCAGCAGCAAGCAGTCCCAACAAGTGGGCTTCTGAGAGCCCATGGCCCGGGCACTAGCCACCATGGAAAAGCGGTCTTCTGTAACAGAGGGTGTGCGCCAAGTGGATAGACCTTGCCATGGTGCTCTGCTGCCCCCTCCTGGGCATGCCCGGGTGAGGCACAGTGCCTAACCCCCTAGAAAAAAAGCCATGTGCTCACCCGAACGCTGCTCAGGCAGGTAAGGGAGGACGTGGCATGCCCACGCCTGGGACAGAGGGCTTCACTGCTAATCACATCTGTATGTCCTGGGAACTGCTCCCAGCCCACACTCTAGGAGGCTCTGGCTCAAAGAGCAGCCGGGTCTTCCTCAGTGACCTCGGAGGATGCCTTGTGATAAAATGTGGGAAATCACATAAACGCCAGAAAAGGGTAACTGCTAGCACGGCCTGGCCACAGCTGAGGTCTGTGATTTCCAAGCAAGCTCCACCTTACACTAAAGTTGGCCTTTTAACTGCAAGCCTTTGTTTTCAGTCCTAGTGAATAAAGTTGTGTTTTCTGGAGTGTCTGTCTCACCTGTTCTGCAATCCCAGCACTTTGGGAGGCTGAGGTGGGTGGATCACCTGAGGTCGGGAAATTGAGACCAGCCTAACACGGAGAAACCCAGTCTCTATGAAAAACACAAAATTAACCGGTTGTGATGTCTGTAATCCCAATTACTTGGGAGGCTGAGGCAGGAGAAATCACCTGAACCTGGGAGGCGGAGGTCGCACCACCGCACTCCAGCCTGGGCAACAAGAGCGGAACTCCTCTCAAAAAAAATAATAATAACAGGCAGAAACGGAGAAGTCAATCCCAAGAGTTGTGAAGTCACTGGTAACATGACTCCCGTTTTCACGTCTCTACACTTTCCCAAGATTGCCTGTGGATGAGCCAGACCCCCGGGGTGCAATAGGGAATGAAAGACGTTGGAGAGAACCGAATCAACTCACTGCCTTTGTTTTATTGCTAAGCACCTCGAATAGACACAGCGCCCACCTTACCACTAGGCCCTCCAGACTGAGGTTTACTTAGGTTCAAAATTTGCAGCCGGCTCACGATGAAACCTGAAAGTAAGACAGCGCCAAAATGTAGACATGAGTCCCCACTTTCCCGTTTCCACTCCCAGCCCCTCCCCAACAGGATTGCGCACTCCCAAGCCTCAGTCTTGCAAAATAATCAGGCTGCACATGCAGTTTTCATACGAGGTGTCAGAAATCAAAGCAGTTCATCACAGGCTCGGAGAACAGGGGAACCCAAGCCTAGCCCAGTCTTACCTGCAAGGAGCTGTGGGTCTGAGATTCAGGAAGTAAGGTTTAAACGCTCAGGGACAAAGTGGAGCGTAGGCCAGGGCTGGATGCCCGGGGACCGGGCCGGCCTGCAGCGTTCGGCCCTCCCGCAAAGATACGTTCGTAGCCCAGTTCTTCCCCGGTTAGTAGCACATGGCACAATCTAACATTAACACAACGCCTCGCGGTCTAGCCCAAAAGAACGGACGCACCGCAGGCTGAAGCTTTTATAGAAACTGTCCTACCTCTGTCATTGGGCAATTCCCGGCGGAAGTGCCCGCCTTTTATTGCCGCTGATACGCTCCACGTCCTAACCGTGTTATTTTCACCAATCGTACCTTGGCATTTCTTTTGGAGGCGGTCTCTTGGACCCAGACCTGAAGCACCTCCCTTATGCAGAATCCGTGAAGCCTAACCGTGAGTGACGGATAAGTAGAGCCAATGAGACTTCGATCTGCAACATAGAGTGATTCTGAAGCCGCCAATCCCGCCCTGCGACGACGGGGCCGCCGGAAGTCGTAGTTTCGGAAATGCCGCGCGTGAGGCAGCTGCCCGAGCCCCGAGAGGCGGGGAACTACAAGTCCCGGCGGGCGAAGCGGCCGGGCGCTTCCGGCTCGCTTGTCCCTTTCCCGGCCGGCGGCCGAGGGGGCATCATGAAGCGGGCCGGCGGCGCTACGGCTCCCAGGTGGCCGCGGGCGGGTGAGTGTCCCCGCGACGCGCCCGGCCCGGGGCCGCGCGGTGGGGCGGAATCTGGCGCGTCGAAGTCTAGGAGAGGCGAGGTCGTGGGTCGGGCCGGGGGGGCGGGGCGGGGCTGAGACGTTCGGGGTCCGGGTCCGGGTCGCTGTCCGTCCGCCTGTCATTTGTCCGTCGCTCGCTCCGTCCTGTCCTCGCGCGTTCTTTACTCATTCCTTCTTCCTGCATTCCCCGAGCCGCCCGCGTGCCATACACTGTTCTGGGCGCTGGAAGACTGCGGAGAACATCGTCCCAGTTCTCCTGAGCTCGGTGTCTGCTGCAGGGGTCCCCAACCTCCGCACCATCGACCACGCGGCCCGGGTCTCTCTTTGCTGCGAGGGGCTGCCCTGAACATTGTAGGATGTGGAGCAGCCTGCCTAGCCCCTGCCCGCTAGATACCAGTAAACACCCCCACTTCCTCAGTTGCGATAACAAAAGTCTCCAGGCATTGGCAAATGTCTCCTGCGGGCCAACACCCCCTGTCCCTGGTCTAGACAGACAGGGTGGAGGGATTGACAACAGATAGAATCATGGGGAGCGGCGGTATATGCTGTAAAAGAAAAAGTGAGTACTGGCCAGGGGTCGGGGCGGCGCTGCCGTTAGCCAAAGCCTGATGGAGAAGCAGCCAGTCCCGGGATGTTGCAAGATGAGCATTCCAGGCAGAAGGAGCCAGATGTACAAAGGCCTAGGGTGAGAAGGGGCCTGGCGTGTCCCAGCAAGCACCGGCAAGTGGAGAGGTGAAGTCGACGGGGCCAGACCAGGTTCTATAGGGTGCCTGGCAAGTGTCGTGGAGGAAGAAGCGCTGGAGAGGCACTTCGGATCTAGGTCTGGTAAACAGCCTTCTGTGTGTGGACCAGACTTTGGAGTTTACTGGGGAAGCAGGAGAGAGGGAGGCTAGGGCATCCTTTCCTAGTCCCCGCTGAGGTCCAGCTGTCAAGGCATCCTTGCCTTGAGCCAGGCCAGAGTGGTCATCTCGGGTTGAGTCTGGAGTCAGCAGGGGCCTGCTGGATCCCACCCAGCTCTCGGAGTGGGGGGCCTCTCACTTGCTGAGGAATTTCACGGTGCCCCAGCCTGTCTGCCCACCTTTCTCACTGCCCTCGCCAAGGGAGGAGACTCCCTCTTCCTCATTCCTTCTCTTGGGGCCTCTCCCTTCCTAGACCCCTTCCCTGTGCCTCTGTCTCTCTATTGTGAATATCCTGACTTGACTGCTCTGGGCATTTATAGTTCTCCAGAGAAGCCCTGGGCCCCTTGTCCTGAGGGGGAGCAGTGGTTTGGGCAGCCTGGCCGAGGGAGGGGAGGGGCCCGGAGTCGGAATCCCAACTGGATGCCCCAACCCAAGGGTCTCTGATCAAGTGACTTTGTCCGTGGCTCACTAGTGCTGAGTGTCATATTTCTGGAAGTGAATGGAAAAGTTCAGGGGCTTTGGTACTCACCGAAAAGTGCCTTTGGCAGATGGAGTGGCGATTGGTGGGGCTCCTGCACGTCTGTCTGCCTATGTTCCCCACCAGGCTCCTAGCTCTTCCTGGGTCAGATTCGTGTTCAGCCATCACACGTCCCCACCCTCCCGCATAGGTCCTGGCACCCTGTCGTGTGACTCTCGGCCAGCTGGTTGGGCATAGGAATGAGTGGTTTGGGGAAAGGAAGAAGGTGCAGTTGAAGGGCCTGCTGACCAGGAGGCATGGGTAGCCTGGTCTTGGGATGCAGCTGCTCCCCGGCTTGGCATGGGACTGGTTCAGGCACTGCCGGGGCTCCTGGGTGTGTGGCAGCCATGGAGGAAGCAGAAGGAATGGGGCTCTGGTCACCACAACACGGACTGCTGGCTGTGTCCCAGGGCGGCCTCTCTGCCTTCCTCAGTCTCCGTGGTCCACTCAGCAGAGGAGCTGCCATCTGTGGTGCCTTCACTCTTTTTTTATTTTTGAGAGGAGTCTTGCTCTCTCACCAGGCTGGAGTGCAGTGGTGCGATCTTGGCTCACTGCAACCTCCGCTTCCTGGGTATAAGCAATTCTCAGCTTCAGCCTTCTGAGTAGCTGGAATTACAGGTGTGTGCCACCACGCTTGGCTAGTTTTGTTTTGTTTTATTTTGAGATGGAGTCTTGCTCTTTCACCAGGCTGGAGTGCAGTGGTGCGATCTTGGCTCACTGCGACCTCCGCTTCCCGGGTATAAGCAATTCTCAGCTTCAGCCTTCTGAGTAGCTGGTACTACAGGTGCTTGGCACCACGCCGGCTACTTTTTTGTATTTTAGTAGAGACGGGATTTCATCATGGCCAGGATGGTCTCGATCTCCTGACCTTATGATCCCACCTCAGCCTCCCAAAATGTTGGGATGAGCTTATAGACGTGAGCCACTGCACCCGGCCAATTTTTGTATTTTTAGAACAGGCAGGGTTTCACCATCTTGGCCAGGCTGGTCTCAAACTCCCGCCTCATGATACACCTACCTTAGCCTCCCAGAGTGCTGGGATTACAGGCCTCCCAGCTGTGCCTTTACTCTTGACGTGTGCATCTTCTCTTGGCTCCTTCCAGATGGGGGTCCGGCTCTACTCCATTCTCTCTTGAGAAGCCTGAGGTCTGGGAGGGCGGCAGTTTGCCCAGACACATAGCTGTGAAGTGGCAGGTGGAATCTGAACCCAGGTCTGTCTGAGCCCAGTGCCTGGAGCCTTGTCCATGGTGTCACACCATCTCCCTGACAGACACCCTGCTGGGTCAGGGAGGGCAGGTAGGGAAGGCCAGCACATGCCCAGCCTGAGAGCTGTTGTGGGACTTCACCAGGTACTCAGTGTGGTTCATGCAGGAGGAACCTGTGGAGAGGAACCCACCAACCCGTTGGCCTTCAATAGATCCCCCCACTGTCCCCAGCCTTGCTCCCGGAAGGAGGAGGGTACAGCCAGGTGGGGCAGGTGAAAGGGGAAAGTGGGCGCTGGAGGCTGGTGCTGGTCACGTGCAGACCCAGACACCCCCGGCTGGAGGAGGCCAGCTGCCTAAAAACTCGGGGTGGAGGTGACCCAACCCTAGAGGCACCCAGGTGGGAAGTGGGGGGCAGCCACACAGAGGCTCAGGACTGAGGGGCATGGGACGGTGTGGAGAAGGAGGCAGCTGTGCAGCTGGCATGAGGGCGCTGGGTGATAGAGTGGGTCTGGTGGTCTCTGCCCTCCTGTTCCTGTTGCCTCTTTGGGCCCACATCTGGCCAGTGTTTGTGTCAGCTCCCCGCTGCTGCTGGGCAGAAGGAAGGAGGGAGCCTGAGAGACCGAGCCACACAGGAAGCAAATGAGAACACAGCCCAGGACTGGGGCGCATGGGCTGAGCCAGGGCACTGCTGGCCCTTGGCTCTTGGGCAAAGCTCATGACCTGTTTCCGAGAGTCCGAGGCCCACATGATTTGTATGAGAACCAGAAACACACTCCCCAGCTCAGTGCTCTGAAGCTGGGTCTCTTCCTGTGCCCCAGAATACTCTCCCCACTCTGGATCCCAGTAGCCTCGTCCTCCAGGAAGCCCTCTGGACTTCACCTGGACTAGGCTAGCCAGGTCCCCACACAATAGACAGCCGTGAGATAGGGGAACAAAAGGACTGAGAGATGTTGCCAGCTCCCAAGGGGCTAGAGGGGCAGCAAAAGGCATCCTTACTATGAAGTCAGGGTAAAGCCTTGGCTCAGCTGGGGGGACCCCCTCCCTGCAGCAGAGGGAGCTGTGGACGCTGAAGAGGCTTGGCCAGGGCAAGACAGGCCTGGAGGCTGGGTGGATGCAGTAGAGACAGAGCTGTGGGAGGAGTTCAGAGGCCTCTGCAGAGCTGGGGCTATGTGTGTGGCGGGCAGGGGCAGACGAGAGGGGCGAGGTCCTGGGCCTCGGTGCTAAGAGGGAAGGGAGGTCGAGCCAACCTCAGACCAGGGCCTGCTGGGGTCTGAGGGGATTCTGAGGACCAAGGCAGGCAGAGGCCAGGGACACCCCAGGGGCCTTCGACGTCACACCCTGCCTATTTGGGATGGAAAAAGCGTTCTAAGGGACGGCAGGGAACAGCTGCGGAAGTGCATGTGGCTTTGCTATGGCAACCAGGACTGTTTCTACAGAATTTAGAAACAGTGGCTTGGGCCAGGGGGCCGAGGCAGGGGCCGGGCTGGGGCGGGCAGTCTGTGGGTGCCCTGGGTGGGCTCTGTGATGCCAGGGACTGTGCTCAGAGCTCTGGCTGCAGTCCAGCCACACACAGTCCTGTGGTAGACCAGGCGGAGACTTCTGGAACCATCCCAGGCTCTTCCCAGGGCAGTCGTAGGCCTGACGGGCACACGTACCCCCTGCTGGGTTCACACACGTTCAGGGGACCCCCACACCCCACCTGCTCCAGGTTGCTGGAGGAGCTACTTTAAGGCCAGGTCTGGCTCTAGCAGGGAGCTGCATCTGGAACCCCCAATTCCTCCACTCAGCAGGGCCCCCCTGGGCTGCTGCCAAGTGGGCAGGGACCCCCCTCCAGGTGTGTCTCCAGGGTTAGGGGTGGGGGTTCACATCCCACATGCCCCCAGGGCAATGCCCAGCAGAGCCCTCCAGGCCCACCTTGGGGGTTGTTGGGGAGGGGCTCCTGGGGGATTTGCTGAAGTGGATCTGGGGTGGAGGCAGAGAGGGGCTGAAGAAGACCTCTAATTCCTTACTGTACAGTGGGTGCCCCCAGGGCCCCGGGAACCCCTCCTGTGTGGATGTGGGGTGGACAAAGACCCTGGGCCTGAATCCCAGGCTCAGGTGAGGTCAAGGAGGGGCTGCCCTGCATTGGTTCAAGGTGGAGGGGTCAGTGGGGGACCAATTCTGTCCCTCGCCTCTGCGCAGTGTGGCCCCACGAACCTCGTCCCCGAGGGTCACAGAGCAGTGGCCTTCCCCAGGTGGATGCTGTGCTTCCTTAAGGACTTCTCTCTTTCAAAGATCAAATCCCCTTGGAGCATCCAGCATGGGCTCCATTGGAGGGGCAGGCAGTGTGGGCAGGAGGTGCTGAGGCAGACTTGGTGGGGACCTGGAAGGGAGAGGCAGGGGGGCTGATGGGGAAACCCCTTTCTCCACACCCAGCTGCCCCCCATGGCTTTTCCCAGTTTGGGAAGAGACTGATTCTATGATACACACCCCCACTTCCCCAGCACTGGGAACTGGAGGGCAGAGAGGCCAGAGAACCAGAGGGGAATTCGCACCCTGGTTGACAGCTTCCTGCCCAGCCAGCCGACAGCCTCAATGACTGTGGGGTGGGGAAAGAGGTGCTTCCCCTGATGCGGGGGGGCCAGGGCACCCCCCCAGGACAGCATCCCAGCCATCCGGGCATTCTGAGCTTCTGTGTTTTCTAGCTGTGGCCTGAGGGACCCTCTTCCTGCTGGGGAAACTGGTGTAAAACCCAGATGCTGGGCACTGGGCTGCGGGGAGGCCGCTGGCATCTTGCTTAATTCGGAGGTGGGAGGGAGATGGATCTTGCTTTAGGGCGGGACACCAAAGTTCTTCACTGGCCTCCTGCCCAGCGTCCTGCCCACCTCCGTGTCCCTAACTGGGGCTGAACACTGAACCCGTGTGAACTGGAAAGCAGCCTCCTGTGCAGTGCGGCCCCTTCCTCCATCCCCCTCCCTCCTTCCCGCTCAGCTGGTGCTCAGTGGGGTGTTGTCCACCCCCACAGGTCCTGTGGTGGCGTCTCCCTCCGTGGCCTAGTTGCTCTTGGCCAGCTGGGACTTTCTGACTGATTCGTGGCTCTGCATGCCTTTCTGTTCACCTCACTTCAGAGTGAGGGACAAGCCAGACCCTTGCTCTCCCAGACTGTGAGACTGTGAGCAACAGGCACTGGGTCCAGCCCAGCCTGTTGGGGGGAGTGCCTGCTAGGGTCCCGGCCACCCAGGCCCCAGGCAGGTGTCACTGGCTCGAAGCTGGCCCTGGGGCCCTGGAAGCTTGCAGTGCAGCTAGCGGATGGGTTTGTAAATTGCAGGTCCGTGTCTCCTAGTGGCTGCGGGTGATCCCTTCCCTGCTCCCGTGGGACAGGAGCCAACCTGGAGCTCCCAGAAGGGTTGAACCTCCCATGTGGAGTCATGGAGCCCTGCAGTTCAGGCCGTCTGGGCCTCACCTGAGCTGGGGAGGGTGGGGTCCTTGGCAGCCGAGGGTGATTCCTGTATGCCTTCTCCCTGCCCCCAGCCCCTGAGCCTCCATTCCCCCCCAGCTCCCTGGGACTGTGGGTGACCTTCACAGGTTCCAGGGGCAGGCTCACCTCTCTCCTATGCTTTCCTCCGTGCATACACCTTGTGGGGAGTTGGGCTCCGGTGACTTCACCCTGCAGGTTCTTTCTCTAGGGTGTGGCCAGTGTCTCTCCATCTGCTGCCTGGTGCTGGCTGGGTCGTGACCGCACCTGCCGTGGCAGGAAACACATTGATCCTGTCTTAGCTGGACCCCAGGTGACTGGGTCCTGCCATGCGGTCGCACCCTGGGCCCAGCCTTGGCCACAGGGGGACATTCAGCCTGGAAATGACTGACTGTGACTCAGGACCCAGAGGAGGAGAGAGAGCCAGGCAGGGGTCCTTCCACCTCTGAGGCAGAGCCGGGTGGGCTCTTCAGGAGTTCAGAAGGGCTAAGGCTTGAGGGATAGTGACACACAGCCGCCCGGCCATCCAGGACTGCGCATACCCAGGGTGTATAGGGGCGAAAGGGCCTTTGCCTTCCATAGGCCTGCCCCAGCTGGTGCTGATGGCAGAAGGTGGCTGCGGCGGCCCAGCTGGCTCTCGGGGGCCTAGGCTCCATCTCTCAGGCCCCTCATCTGTGCTCCACCCACAGGAGATGCTGCCCAAGGACCCTAGATGCTTCTTTAGAGCATGAGCTCGGGCAAGAGTGCCCGCTACAACCGCTTCTCCGGGGGATCCACCAACCTCCCCACCCAAGACATCACCACCGGGGTAAGGGTCTGCCTCTGCCTGCCCAGCATCCATAGGGACCTGGTGCTGCCTGCACAGCTCCCAGCACAAGCCCCTTGCTAGCTCGGGTCTTGGGGAACTGTGCTGTGTGTGTGTTGCTGGGGCATGTGAGTGCCACACGGAGTGGCCTGGTCGCGTGTTAAACGTGTGAGTGGGGTTCACATGTGCGTGTCCTCCTCCTGTCTGGGGATGAGGCCAGGTCTCCCCCTTCTCCCTCTAGAGCAGAATGGAAACGACCTTCGGACCCAGCTTTTCGGCCGTCACCACCGTCACAAAAGGTGAGCCCTTAAGCCCAGACCGGCCCAGGCTGGGCATAACTAGGGCACGGCCACACCCACCCTGCTAAGGCCTGAAGGGCACTTCCTGGTGGGCTGGTGTTGGGCGTGGGCAGCCTAATGCCCCAGCCTCTGTTTCTCAACAGCCTCTCAGCCCTGGGCCTCCCGGCTGGACAGGAGCCGGACATCCAGCTCCTTGCGCCTCATGACTGTGCTGTGCCCTCTTCCCCTGCCCTCTTTGTCCCTTCCAGGGAGGCTGCCCTGACATCCCCAGCACCAGCACACAACCCTGTCCTTGTCACGGTCCCAGGCTCCTTCCCGGGCAGCCTCCAAAGGTCCTGTGTGCCCGGGGCTCCTCTCTGGAGTTTGGCTGGCCTTGGGCTCCAGTACCGGGCCGTACTTGCTAAATATTCACAGGGTCTCCAGAGGGACAGGGAATAGAAAACATATTCATGTTCATAGGAAGGGAGAGAGTGGAAGAGGCCCATACATCTGTTGCTGTTTTTTTTTGGAGGCGAGTGTCACTCTGTCACCCAGGCTGGGGTGCAGTGGTGTGATCTCAGCTCGCTGCAACCTGGGCCTCCCGGATCAAGCCACCACCCTCCCATCTCAGCCTCCCAAGTAGCTGGGACCACAGGCACCACTGCGCCTGGCTAATGAATTTTTGGTAGAGACGAGATGTCGCCATGTTGCCCAAGATGGTCTTAAATTCCTGTGCTCAAGTGATCCTCCTGCCTCGGCCTCCCAAAGTGCTGCAATTACAGGCATCAGCCACCAAGCCAAGCCCAATAAATCTTCACCTGTACACGACCACTGGGCAGGGTACACAGTGGAAACCCGGAGCTTCCCTGCCCTGCGTCTCAGTCCTGTCCCCTAAGAACCAGCTGCACTCTGAACCCCAGCACTAAGCTCGGGGAGGCCGCGAGGACCTGGCCGTGCAGAGGCGGCCTCCTTCCCGAGGTGCGGGGCGGGGGCTGTGGGGTGACTTTGTTCTCTCCTTTCTGGCATTCTGCCCTTTCTAGAAACACACCAGCGGCTAATTAGCTTTTTAATTGCTTTCCCGTGGTTTCCTCTGATAAACCTGGCTATGGGGTCACAGGGCTGTGGAGGACACCTGCTCACACCAGCACCTCCTTGCTGCTGGTGATCCCCTCAGGGGCTCTACAAGGGCCCTCTTTTTTTTTTCTTGGATGGTTCCTTTGGAGGAAAAAATAAATAAATGTCACCCCCAATTCCATCCCACAAGAAATAGTGCCTTAATTTTTCATCTACCTTCACAAACCCCGTGGCCACTGTCACATGGTGGAAGGCGCCCGGGATGGGGAAGGGCATAGCTGCTGCACCTGGCCCCTTGGCAGCAGGGATGGGCAGAACTAGGCAGCAGGGTGCCCATAGGTGCCCAGTCACAGGGCAGCCTCTTGAGGCCTCAATCTCAAGGCCAGGACTGGTTGTGACATCTGAGCCTGGCTGGTCCTGAGGCTGGGAGGTGGCTCTCTCTGGCTCCCACATAGACTGACCAGCCCTTCCCAGGGCAGCCCTGCCCTCTGGCCCTGCCGAAGCTGGGGTGATATGTGGGCAAGAGGAGGGAGGGCACCTTAGCTCCTGCCCCAGAGGAGGCCACCAAGGCTCCTTCCTGGTCCTGGCTGTGCCAGAGACACCAGGATGCAGTCCCAGCCCTTCCCCATACCGGCCCCACACCTCAGCCTCAGCTTCCTCTGTAAGTGGAGGCTGTCAGAGAACTCACCTGGCAGAGACACTTTGAGTCAAACGAAATGGCACCTCCGGCTGGCCTTCAGAGTGATGGCTTGGCGTTAGCCATGGGCCTCAGCTGGCTCAGGCTGGGGTGCGGGGGAGCTTGTAGAGGCCCTTCTGAAAGAAGACCCTGCCCAGGGTAGGCAGGGCAGGGGCAGGGGCAGGGGCAGGGGCTGCCGGGCTCAGTGCTGGGACTGTCCAGGTAGAGGCTGACCCCAGCAGCCATGCTCCCGGCACTGGTTTGACCTTGGGAGGGAACCGAAGCTTCCCCACGTCATCCCTGCATGCCTTCCTGCCTGCCTGGCCCTGGGGAGGGCTGTGAGCTACGGGGGTCCACAGGGCTGGCTGTCCAATATGGGCTCCACCTGCCCTGCATCTTGAGAGAGAGACCCCGCTCAGGCGCCAGCCCTCTTCCTTGCAGCCGACGGGACCAGCACCTACAAGCAGCACTGCAGGACACCTTCCTCCTCCAGCACCCTTGCCTACTCACCACGAGACGAGGAGGACAGCATGGTAGGTCCCACCCTGAAGGAGCTGGTGTGAGCCTCAGCCTCCCTCCTGGGGGACCGGGGTCCCAGGAAGAGCTGACAGTGAGCTGGTGAGGCAGAGGGGAGGAACAGCACCTGTGGGTTCCCTGAGGCCTTACCACACATGGAGAGTCTGTGAGAAAAGAGTCTCCCGGGTCTGGACTGTGGGTGGCAGGAGGCAGCCAGTAAGAGCAGCTGGGCCCGAGGGTGTGGCACCTGCAGGCCAGGATGAGGCATGTTTGACTCCATCTTATGGGAGGTGGGAGCCACAGAAGGTTCAATCAGGAGAGTAACACAATAAAATTAATGCTGTGAAAGCTTGCTCTGCTGCTGGGTAGGGAATGAGCGGGGTTGCTGGGTCAAGGCAGGGTTTGAGGAGGGGTCCTGATGAGAGGAGGGAGAGGAAACGTGTGTGGACCTAAGCTGTGGGGATACCAGAGGTAATGGGGTGAGGGCTGCAGAAGCTGTGCTGAGTGCTGGGGGAGCCAGAGAATTCCCTATTGCTGGCTGTGTGGGGTGCAGAAGGGTTCAGGGCAGTCAGGGACTGCCTGCTGGTGCCTGAGCCCTGTGGCCAGGGTCTCAGTGGCCATTCCCTGCCATCCTGGTTACTGGCACTCACTGCTGGGCTCTGGGGGCAGGGGCGCCTCTCTCCAGTGACTCGGTCACCAGGTGTGGCAGCCCTGCTGCCCTCTTTGGACTGAGGCCTCTTCTTTTTTATTTTCTAACAATAACAGGAAAAGTTGTGTTTTTTTTTTTTTTAATCGTTTTGTTTTTCGAGACGAAGTCTCATTCTGTCACCCAGGCTGGAGTGCAGTGGCGCAATCTCAGCTTGACTGCAACCTCTGCCCCCCAGCTTCAAGTGATTCTCCTGTCTCTGCGTCCTGAGTAGCTGGAATTACAGGCGTGCACCACCACGCCGGGCTAATTTCTGTATTTTTGTTAGAGATGGGGTTTCTCCACGTTGACCAGGCTGGTCTCAAACTCCTGACCTCATGATGCATCCACCTCGGTCTCTCAAAGTGCTGGGATTACAAGGCATGAGCCACCTTGTGGGACCAGAAAAGAAGTTTTTAATTAATTGACCAAAGACACCTGTGTGCCAGGCACTGCGCTTGGCCCTGAGGATGAGTTGGGTTTATCTGTGCCCCTTCCCTTGGGCCTCTACCTGCCTCAGTCTCCACAACCCGAAGGCCACGAGTCCGCCACGCCTTAGGTTCCCATCATCGCCTGCCATCCCCATGGGTCACGATGGCTTTAAGGAGGGGCCGGTACCTTCTCTGTTTACTGTTAGGCCCACACAGGTGGTCCGCCTCCTGCCCTCTCCCCTGCCCCCAGGAGGGTGGGAGACTCTGGGGTGGTGGTGGGCAGGGCAGGCCAGAGAGAGGGGGTCATGCCAGCTCCTGCTCTGCTGTCGTTGCCTGGGCTCCCCTGCTGCTGTGGGGCCGTGTGACTCACTTCCTCCACCTGCCCTCTGCTCCCCCGTGCTGTTTCCTTGCAGATGGGCCCTCGGGACCCGGAGGGAGGTGGGCACACGGGACACAATGCTCCCTCCGCCGGCCTCGGGACTGGCTCTGCCTCCACACTCTGTGGGTTTCACACCCAGGCCGCCGGGGAGGGGCCAGAGGCTCAGCAGGGCAGGAGCAAGCAGTGCTTGGTGGCCCGGGTGGCTGTGCGCCGGGGCCAGGTCCCTCTGCAGTCAGAGCACTAGGAGAGGAGCCTTGGGCAGCAGTGGCTCTCGGAAGCTTCTGGAGGTTTCCAGGCCAGAAGGGAGGAAGGGGCAGTGCCTGCCCCTCCCCCAGGCTCCCTTGTTGGTGGCTGAGGCAGAAGCAGGCACCCACAGCCCTCACTGCTGCCCTTGGGAGGCTCAGCTGAGGCTCTGTGGGGGCCTGGCCTGCCTTCCCTCGGAGCCTCCTGGCTGCGCCTGGTGTCCCTGACCAGCGAGGCCAGACCAGCAGCCAGTCCCGGGGGGCACCAGGAGCCCAGCCACGTCTCCCTGCCAGCCTTCCTGGCCCCTCCATCCCGAGGTCACGGCCTCGGCTGCCCGGGATTGGCTAGTGGAGGTGCCCCCTCGGCGGCCCACATTCCCTCACGGGAAGCAGGAAGCAGCCCGGGTGTGTGGAATTGAATAGCAGGAAGTCTCTCCATTTACACAAAGAGAGGTGGCAGGCGTGAGGGGGCAGCCCAGCACCAGGGCCCAGGCCGCCCGGGCGGGCAGGCAGGGACCTGGGCTGCATCAGCTCCCCATGTTTACCCACGGCCCCTGTGGACAACGGGGGCGCCCACGGGGAGAGGGGTGCCCCAGGGGCACTGCTGCCCTCCCGTTTCTGCTGGGCTCAGTCCTGTCCTCCCCACGGCCCCAACCCCATGCAGAGCCCCCTGACGGGTGCCTCTCCCTCTGCGCAGCCCCCCATCAGCACTCCCCGCCGCTCCGACTCCGCCATCTCCGTCCGCTCCCTGCACTCGGAGTCCAGCATGTCCCTGCGCTCCACGTTCTCACTGCCCGAGGAGGAGGAGGAGCCGGTAGGTGTGGGGGACTTCCAGGCTGTCACCGTGGCAGTGGCACGGAGGCACCTTCACCTCTGCTGGCCAGCCCAGCTCACGGAGAGGGTGGCTGGGCCTGCAGTGCTTGCTGGTCCGAGGTGGGGACTCGAGGGGCCAGGCCAGGTCCCCTGGGCACATTCTCCCACTCCCCATTCTCAGCGCTGCCCGGGAACTGGCAGTGGGAAGTATGGGGCTCCAGCTGGGCCCTTTCCATTCTCACCCCAGGAAGGAGGCGGGCAAGGGTAGGCGAGACTGACCGGCTGGACTCACTGTCCTGGGTTGGACCCTGCCTCTGGGGTCACAGGCCTTGTTCCCCCTCCTAGGCCCGGATCAAGCCCCCCAGATCTAAGCAGGCCTCTCTCAGGACATGCCTCCGTCCCCAGAGGACAGCCGGGCCTGGATGGGGGAGCCTGGGAGCTGGGTGGTGGCGGGGCTGAGGGTGGGAGAGCCTGGGAGCTGGGGGGTGGCGGGGCTGAGGGTGGGAGAGCCTGGGAGCTGGGTGGTGACGGGGCTGAGGGTGGGAGAGCCTGGGAGCTGGGTGGTGACGGGCTGAGGGTGGCCTCCTGCCATTGCCTGCCCTTCCTACTCCGTTCCAGGAGCCACTGGTGTTCGCAGAGCAGCCCTCGGTGAAGCTGTGCTGTCAGCTCTGCTGCGGCGTCTTCAAGATCCCGTGATCACCACGTGTGGGGTGAGCCCGCCATCCTTCCCAGCCCCCATAGGCCTTCATGGCTCTCAGGGGCCAGTGCTGCTGCCCCCTGATCTGTGGAACTTGAGACTTGGGCGAAGCCTGGTCTGACTGCACTGGGCTTGGGAACAGTGAGGCCTGTGGCTGCCGTGGCCTTGGACTTGGGGAAAAGAGAACCTTGCAGCCACCCTCAAGTCTTCCCTTTGCCCCCACAGCACACGTTCTGTAGAAGATGTGCCTTGAAGTCAGGTAGGCTCGTGCCCCAGCCCACGCCTGTCAGTGACCAGGCCCATGGCTGCCGAGCAGAGGCGGCCAGCTTCTCCCTTGTCCCTCTGCACTGCATCTGGGCCTCTTTGGCCTCTGCTGGGGTCGGGATGGGGCTGCAGCAGTCCCGGGGGCGCTCAGGCTGAGGCTCGTGGACCTCCAGGGCAGAATGGGGTCACCCCAAACTCAGAGACCCCACAGTGGGTGTGGGCCGGGGCTCCTCAGACAAGGGCTGGCGTCCCCTGGGGAAGCCGTTCTCACTGGTGAGGCTGTTGACCTCCCTCGTGTTGCCGGCTCCTGCCTCTCCACCCTCTGCCCTCTGCCCTCTGCCCTCTTGGCCCCTACCCCATGCTTTTCCAGGAACAGCTGAGAGTGTCACAGGTGACACTCCCTCATCACCTGCTGGTCTTTCTTGGTGGCGCAGCTGTGCCCCCATACCCATGTTGTGTGCCTCAGAGGGGCAGATGGACAGATCTGGCCGCTGCTAGAGGCGCGTGCCCACCTGGGTGAGGGAGCGTGTTCCAGGCAGGCCGTGGGGGTCAGCACAACCTCTTCCCACAGAGAAGTGTCCCGTGGACAACGTCAAGCTGACCGTGGTGGTGAACAACATCGCGGTGGCTGAGCAGATCGGAGAGCTCTTCATCCACTGCCGGCACGGCTGCCGGGCGGCGGGCAGCGGGAAGCTCCCCATCTTTGAAGTGGACCCCCCGAGGGTGCCCCTTCACCATCAAGCTCAGCACCCGGAAGTAAGTGCCCCTCCCTGGCCACCTTTGCCTCCCTGGGGGCTGCCTCTCGGGGCTCTGGCTCAGGCCTCCCTGCATCCTGCCCTGGCACAGGGACCACGAGGGCAGCTGTGACTACAGGCCCGTGCGGTGTCCCAACAACCCCAGCTGCCCCCCACTGCTCAAGATGAACCTGGAGGCCCACCTCAAGGAGTGTGAGCACATCAAGTGTCCCCACTCCAAGTACGGGTGAGTGGGGGGCAGGCAGGGTCCCTCCACATGGTCCCGGGGAGGTGGGTTGGAGCCGGGGCCATGCTGGGGTTTGTCATCCTCCAGGAGCACAGCAGGGGCCCAAAGCCCCGGGAAACACAGAAGGGGAGCAGAGGGCGTCTGGGAAGGCAGGCATGGATGCTCCCACAGCCAGCCCAGCAGGGCTGGATTTGAGCAAATGCTGAGGTTGAGAGCTTTGGAGAGGGACGGGGGAGTGGGAGGAGAGGCAGGGGGCCCAGTTCTTGAGGGCAGGGAGGCTGCCGAGGGGCATGGGTTTTATCCTCAGGGAGGGAGGACCCCTTGAAGAGCTCTGGGGGGGTAGTGTGATAGGACCTCGCTTGTGCAGCAGCCCGGGGGTGGTTGGGTGTGGGAGGAGAGGCAGGAAGGCAGGTGTGGGTGGGGGCCTCTGGACCTGGG